TTTCAAAATGGGAGAAAACAAGGAAGCACACGCCAAAAGAAACGAAATAATAAATGAACTGATAATGTCCTTGATAAAATGGCATTGAAAGAATAACCAGAACGAAGAAAAAAGAAGAGAAAAGAATCATGAAACGAATAAAAGCGAAAACTAGAAAAAAAAAATGAAAACGAAAATATACCGGAATATCGGCTGGAATAATGCAAGAAATTTCTTATCAGACGAGAAAGAAGCAGTAAAAAAAAAAAAAAGAATTATAATGGTAATATTAAATGAATAATGAAAATAATGAAAAATATGTGCAAGTTTTAAATAAGAGGCAAAAACTTAAGGAAAATTATAAAAATTGAACAAATAAAATAGTCAAGATGGCGCCCTGCACTTTCGCGCCAATTCCTATTTTGTATAAAGGTAACAAAGCGAAGTATTTCGTTGTTATTACCTGCCAAAGCTGCAGCTATGAGGACACACTTTTCCTGGAAGGGATGGGAAATTGGTTGGTGATGTTGTCGATGAAGAGCAGTAATTTCAACAGAACTAATTTGGAGGTAAAGAAGAAACAGAGAAGCTGGTAGATATACACAAGAAAGGAACACACAGACACAGACACACACACACACACACTCGCGCGCACACACGCATATATCAATTTTGTGTTCTAAATTCTGACATATGTATGCATATGTTAAAACGCAAACTAAGTAAGTATATATATATATATATATATATATATATATATATATATATATATATATATATATATATATATATATATATATATATATATATATACTATATATCAATATATATATATATGTATGTGTAATATATATATATTCTAAAATCTCATATTTATATAAAAACACAAACTATATATATATATATATATATATATATATATATATATATATATATATATATATATATACACATACTCAGTATACATATATGTGTGTGTGTGTGTGCACAATATATATATATATATATATATATATATATATATATGCATAAATAAATATATAATATTATATGTATATAATATATATCGATTTCTGCCATTTTATGTTTTTAATTTCACACATGCGCGTTGTTTGTATTTGATTTTGTCAGTTGTACAGGATCGTGGGGTCTGTTGGGCTCCGTCTTTGAGGAAAAAAGAGCATTATGACGCAATTTACACCCCCAGAAATTTCGAAACAGCATGAAGAATTTGCAGACATATCTTTACATGGATTTTTCTTCTTTGTTTTTGGCCTGGGGAAGCAAACCTTTATTCACCTATCTTTTCTAAATTATCTTTATTATCTACCTATCTATCTATCATCTATTCTATCTATCTATCTATCTATCTATCTATCTATCTATCTATCTATCTATCTATCGATCTGTTCTATATCTATCTATCTATCTATCTATCTATCTATCTATCTATCTATCTATCAGCCTGTTCATATCTATCTATCTATATCTATCTATCTATCTATCTATCTATCTATCTATCTATCTATCTATCTATCTATCTATCTATCTATCCACCATCTATCTATCTATCACCCTGTTCATATCTATCTATCATCATCAATCTATCTATCACAGCCTGTTCACTATCTATCTATCTATCTATATATATATATCTATCTATCTATCTATCTATCAGGGGGAATCTATCTATCTATCTAGAGAGAATCTATATCACACACACACACACACACACACACAGATATATATATATATAGAGAGGGGAAGAGAGTAAGCTTAAAATTAATCTAACTCCTGCGGATGTCTCTTAATTGGCCCTTCGACTTGTTCAGGATTTTCAGTCTCTAATTTTTTTGCATATTCTCAGCATTAGAATCTTTCCAGACTGCCGTTTTATCTGGGTTTTCATTTGCACGGGACGTTCTTGGTTCCTTTGATTGCAATCTGGTCCTCTGTTGGCGGAGATTTCTTTTTGCAAGGCGTACTGCTGCCTCATACGAAAGGCAACAATAAACTACAGAATAACTCAACATTGATCGCTACATTTAAGTGTTGTATTAATATTTACCTTTCAAAAGTTCAACGATAATTCTTTTGTGGCCACTTAATTTAAAGACAATTTGATGTACGTAGACCCTTACTTTCCGTAAAAAAAATTGGACAAAATAAGGGGCTCGTTTCGAAATTCCAATCTCATGAAGAAGACCGGAGTGTACAACGGCCGAAACGTTGTGAATATGGCAGCGAAGATGAGGATAACAGTCCGAATAATGTAAATAATGTAAGTAATCATAATACCTCATCTCAGAGATATAGACAGAAAATGATAAAAACATTGGACAACTCTGAATTCGAAACCTGATGAGGACCTTCGGCACGCAATGGAGCGATTCTCTGTATTAGGTTTTTCAAAAAAGAGTTACGGATTCTCCAAAAACCTTCACCATTATAATAAAATCATATGTGCCGGTATATATGCCTGGCGATTTAGTTCTAAGAACTGAACTGCCGGGCCATCATACATCGAAAAACTACAGGAGAGTCCTAAACTCACACCCTAACGCACACACACACACACACACACACAGATATATATATATATATATGTGTGTGTGTGTATGTGTGTGTGTGTGTGTAAAATACTAAGTGTCTGTGATTGCGTGCGTGCTTGATGCTTGTGTGGTTCGTCCGTCCGGCCGTGACCACCGGTGGTCCGGCGCATAATGAAATATGAGTTGTTCATACGGATATTTTTTTTAATTAAAATATTTTAAAGTTAAAGAAGAGACGCAAAGAGATCCTGCTTTAAACAAACAATATTTTAAATATTTAAAATATCTTTTCAAGTTAATTTGATTTAAAGTATATTTTAAGTGAATAAGATTTAAAAATTCGAGTTGTTTATGCAGTAAGTATTTTTATCTTAACTTTCTTCAAACAGACAATGTTTTTAATTAAAATATTTTAAGTGAAAGACAGACACAAAGAGATCCCGATTTGCTGTTTAGTCCAGCTGTTTGTAGAGTAATTATTTATATTTCAGCTTTCTTTAAACTAACGATATTTTAAATATTGAAAAAAATATTTTTTGCCATATTTTTAAAATATTTTCAAGTGTATATGACTTAAAAATATTTTTGGCATATTGAAAATATTTTTTAAGTTAATCTGATTTAAAGTTTAGTTTATCCCGGAGGTTCTATTCCTATTAAATGCTGTAAACAATCAGTAAAACGTTAAACATGTAAATCAGACCAATGATGGCACGAACGAATTGAAATATTTAACTGAATCATAATAAAATTAAATTTCATTTTAATGGAATATTGAAATCAAATTCAGTGTTTTATAAACTGAACAGTGATTGACCCAATGTTACCGGGTAGTCAAGTATATATATATATATATAAGTATATATATATATATATATTTATAGGACGAAACGGACGTCCAGTGTTTTCTGCATTCTGTTGAGGTTTCTTCTAGACTCGATGAATTACTTAAATATAATTATCAAATCCTCCTAATAATTTCTATCACTTGTATATCATTGCTTGAACCGGCTTTAAATGCTCTGGATGGAGCGGCTTGGTAATAGTAGTCGTGGCTCTTGGGGGCTTAGTCCTATGGTTATAGAGAAACTCAGATGAGTTCCACCACGGAATATGTGAGCGAGCGGTGCTATATTGAATTTGATTTGCAACCACTTCGTCACCGAGTCCTGTTGGAACAGTTGGTATGATGTTTGCTTGATAACCTAACTGTAAGGGTTTCAATTCTCGGTAATGGATGAACACTGATGATGAGTCCCAAATATAGGGCGACACGGATGTCCAGTTCATTCTGTTGAGGTTTCTTCTAGACTCGATGAATTACTTAATTATAATTATCAAATCCTCCTGTCTATCTCTTATATAGATAATATTAGTGGTAACTATACATATGCAAAATATATATACATATATATTTGTATAATATATGCAAAATATATATACATATAAATTTTTCTTTTCCTCTCCCTCCCTCTTCTTCTGATCTTTAAGATTAGATCGTCTATTATGTGTGTATGTCACCACAAAATGTATCCTTTCCGGTTACATCTTTAATGTATTAGACATCCGACAACATTCATATTTCTCTCACTTCAACCTTCTTTGACTCCTCTCTCTAAAATTTCTCTCTGTTAAATTTTAATCTCCCACCTTCTCTCGTCTGTTACCCCTCTCTTTAGCTCTAACATTCGTCCCACACTCTCATACTTACACTCTCTCTAAATTCTATTTTTTATTTCCGGAGTTGTTTTTTTTCTGTTTTCTTTTTGAATTTGTAGGTCTGATGAATTGGATCGTATTTACGATTCCAATGGAATAAATTATGACCATGGAATATTAGTGTTTAAGCCTTTTATTATATATATATATATATATATATATATATATATATATATATATATATATATATATATGTAGGCATTGAAATCGATGGCCTGACGATTATGATTTGCATGGAACAGTGCCTCCTCTGGGTGTTGATTTCAATGTCCACTTTCATATTCACATACGCTCTATCTCTGATATTAACCACTTTATCCCATAAATATAGCATAACTTAAAACTATATATATATTGTCAATATACAACACTTGAGCGCTTAGCCTTGGATAGATTAGAATGGGAATCAACGTGTTTTAGAAAAAAATATTAAGCTGTCAGATCCTCATACGTCGACACTGACGGGGGAAAGTCCATTATATATATAGTTTTGAGTACTTTTTATTATTACTGTTTTTTGGTCTAATTCAACTCATTAACTTTTTTATCATATATATATATATATATATATATATATATATATATGATAAAAAATATAGGATCTGACAGCTTAATTGATTCACTTATGAAAGTTTGTGCGATAATCTTACGTGGCATTTAAGACCCGCTCGTGATTTACAAAGGAGGCCACATATGGAGCAAGAGTGAGGATTGTGAGATGAAATCACTGTTAGATTGGCTGACCTTTTAGATCTTGCTCACGCTTCTTGAAGATGCTTCAGACAAGCAGATTGAAAACTGCTGAGTCTACTAAAACACGCTGATCTCCATTCTACTGTCTCCAAGGCTAAGTGCTCAAGGGTATGTGTGTGTGTGTGTGTGTGTGTGTGTGTGTGTGTGTGTGTGTGTGTGTGTGTGTGTGTGTGCAAATATATTGATATAATAGGAAAGAACCGTTAGATTGATGATCCGAACTTCTTTAGTATTTTTGTTCTTATTTTTATCTAGAGCCTAGATTATAATTATTTAAAAAAATATATGATTCCATCGCTACACAGAAATTACTATGTTTCGAAACTGGTCAGCAGTATTTAAACTTAATTCTAATACAATGCTTGAGAATGAAACTGCCATCTAGTGGTTAAGTTTTAATATTGGAATTAAACTTAAATACTGCTGACCAGATTCGAAAGAAGCTGTCGAAATATCCATGCCTGAGGACATGAAAGCAGAAATTACATGGCTTAGTTTGCGCAAAGGACAATTGAAAAAAAACACACACACACACAGAACAAGTGTAGAACGAATATACTCCAAATGAAAATAGACAAATCACAACAAACTAGAAAATGTCGCCTTTGTAGAGAAAGAAAATATGTAAATAATGGCAAAGTAGACATGACTAAGTGGAAAGGTTACTTCACTTGAAATTTCACAATTTGTTTATGATTCTGTAAGTAAATTGGGATGTACATGTAACAACAGGTATCGATTCTGAAAGTGGTTAAAACCAGCTGCATTCAATATCCCCGAATTTGTTACGTCCAATTTTGCACTAATGACCTTGGGAATGGTAAGAATACACCCTTCCCCAAGCTAGCTATGTATTGAATATCATTGTTAACTGGATTCTCTAGACTTGGGATACAACCAGATTTGGATAAAGGAAAGTTCTTAATTTCACACCGTGTAGACGGCAATAGTAAACCTATCCATCAAGTCATGACAATTAACATATATTAAACAGGTAGTTGTGGAGAGACATGACAGTCTTTGTCTTGAAGGGAAATGGTCTAAAAAATAAGTGAAAATAAAATGTATATGCACAATACCAACATTTTTCTAAAGAATAGAAAAAATATTGGCAGGAATTAGAATTTCTAGTGACGGTAGCCAAACAGGATTGTAAATTTTCGGTTCTAAATTTAAAAAAAAATGCCCCTCCCCCGCGCCTAATAAAGAAATTTAAAAGACTATTTTCATTTTTTTTTTTTGACTTCTAAAAGTTCTAATGCTTGAAAAAAAATGTAAATCTGTGTGTGAAAAATATGTATCAGGGTTGGGGAACCTTCCATAATAAGTCCTGGGTATGACGATAAACTACATCCGGCATCAAGGCCGTATTATCAGGAGATTGAAGATTTTAAGTAGCATTGAACCACCTCTTAATTGTCGTTTATTTCAGCTCCATCCTGACTCGGGTTGGTAGCACCTATTAGAGTCCCAGCTATGGGAAAATAGTGACCCTACCCTCCCAAACACAAACAAAACACTATAAAAGTATAAAAATTTATTTTTATAGTAAAAATACCAGCAATAATTGTTTATATTAAAAATTACTAACACGTAATTATTGTCCTCATAAATAAATTCATGATAATCATTTTTATCACAAAATGACAAACAATGAATTTTATCTGTACTTGAAGGTACAAAAATGCCTTCAATATATTTAGATTTCGACATTAAAATTAACCAGAAAGTTTGATATATCGCTAAACAAAATCAACCAACCAACAATACATATTTATAGTAAAAATATCAACAATACTTATTTATAGGAACATTACCAATAATACATATATATTTAAAGCAAAATGGCTAGCAGTATATTTTATCTGTAGTTGAAAGCATACAAGTGCGTTCAAAATATTTAGATTTCGGTATTAAACTGACCCATAGAGGTGTTGATATGCCGACAAACAAAATAAACCAACCAACCAACTGTTGACATGCAAAACCCATTTTTCATTACGTGTAACAAGGGGAGGTAAAAACAAAAAACAAAAGAAAGGTTGACATTTCTGGTAAAACGACTGCTGCAGATGCCGGAACATTGGCTGCTATTCAAAAGCGAAACCTTGTTGGGGAAGGGGGGACTCCGAAGGAGAGACAAGGAGAGAATGAAAATAAAGGACAAGCGAGAAGCATTGGGGGGAGGGGACCGAAGAAGTGACAAAATAGGAAAGAAAAAGAAATGGAAGAAACGAAACGAAACGAAAAAGAAAGAGGAGGAGGAGGAGGAGGAGGAGGAGGAGAAAAGGAGATGATGATGATGATGATGATGATGATGATGATGATGATGGATCTGCTTATCGGATTGAAAATGGACGGCGGGAGTAAAGAGTAAAAAGAAATGAATGAACAGTTCGACAACGAAAGAATCCGAGAAAAATATAGGAAAAACGTAGAGAAAATGGTCAGAGGAGAGAGACAAAATTCCTCATTCTTCGTGATGAATGAGAAAAAAAAAAAACAAAATCTTTAAAAAAAAAAAAATTATCGAGAAAAAGCTGTTTCAAGAAAGAATAGTAGTAAGGAAAGAAGGAAGGAAGGAATTATTTATAATCAAATCAAGTAATTTGATGTCCATATAAGTACATCTCTCTTGCACCTTGCAATTCTCTGTCGTATAATTATTTTGATATGGCAAATTAATCTCTATTTTTCCTCCGAAATATAACGCTCAGACAAGTGGACATTCAGAAATTCAGGCTGTCGAAGTTTATGGCTTCCTATTAATTATACGATGACGTCGCAAAGAGAGAACTTTGGAAGTCTGTTTGGTGATTCAATAAGAAATCTCCTTCCGTTCTGATAACTGCCACTAGCGGCAACTGGTTAAAGAAAATGTAACATGAAGCTTCATTTTTTTAAAATTTCATATACTTTCTGGTTTTAAGCGATCACGATTCTTCACGGCCAGTTTTTTTCTTTATTATTATTAAATTACCATGTTTTCTTGGGAAATATAGTGGAGTGCTTTCTATTTGCCTTCTTCATGGTTTTAATCTCAACGATTTCCTTCTTTTAAGTTTCTTAACACGCAAAGCTAAAAGGCTACACTGCTATTTAGTTCATAGCTTGGCGTAGGGAGAAACGAATTCATGCCTTTTCTCAAGCGTATTTGCGTAAAAGTAAACGCATCAGACTCGGCCGTTTAAACTTACTAGTCGATGTTTGTTACGCTATCCTGAACTTGTTCGGTCCCCTGGAAGCGATGTAATGGTTAGCAAGCTGGTCTCGCTAGAACAATTACGACTGAATAGTGAGTTCGATCCTCACTGAGTGCCCCATACTTTCGGCCTTGTGCCACATCTAAGCTACGCTTGTAAAATAACTATATTAAAATACTAATGTATTGGACACCTCGAGGCGGTGTAATTGTTATCAAACCTGTCTCGCTAGAACAATTACGACTGAGTAGTGAGTTCGATCCTCACTGGGTGCCCCATACTTTCGGCCTTGTGTCATACCTAAGCTACGCTTCGAAAATCACTATCCTGAAATTGAATATCGAACAAAAATTTCAATACACTCAATCTAAATCGTTATTTGGCACTTCGACGCTGTGTAATAATTTACAGGCTTGTCTCGATAAGTCATTTACGACTAGGTAATGAGTCTGACACTCACTGGGTGATCCATACATTCGGCCTTGTGCCACACCCTGCCAATACCTCATAAATAATGTACTATTGCGTTATGATCGTGTGGAAAGGGTAAGAAAAAGGGACTACTTGGTTTCGATAAAAGAAAGAAAGAAGTGTTTAACGTGAAATGAAAGAAATTGTCAATTTCAAATCTGTTCATTTGAACTTCCCTATTTCTTAAAATAACGACCAGAATTCAGATTCATGATGATTTTTACGGGTAGCTTAGATATGGCATAAGGTTGAAATTATGATGTACCCAGTCAGGATCGAACTCGCAGCATTCATATTTATGATTGTTAATGAAATATTTTCTTAAAGTTGTTAAGCTCAAGTAATTAACGATGCGATAAGAGAATTTCTACGGATATTTTATTGTCTGTCAATATTTCTGAGATGAGGTATTATGTACATTATTTACATTATTCGGACTATTGTCCTCATCTTTGTTGCCATATTTATTACGTTTCGGCCTTTCAGTATCTGTCTATATTTCTGAGATGATGTATTATGTACATTATTTACATTATTCGGACTATTGTCCTCATCTTTGTTGCCATATTTATTACGTTTCGGCCTTTCAGTATCTGTCTATATTTCTGATATGAGGTATTATGTACATTATTTACATTATTCGGACTATTGTCCTCATCTTTGACGCCATATTTATTACGTTTCGGCCTTTCAGTATCTGTCTATATTTCTGATATGAGGTATTATGTACACTATTTACATTATTCGGACTATTGTCCTCATCTTTGACGCCATATTTATTACGTTTCGGCATTTCAGTATCTGTCTATATTTCTGAGATGAGGTATTATGTACATTATTTACATTATTCGGACTATTGTCCTCATCTTTGAAGCCATATTTATTACGTTTCGGCCTTTCAGTATCTGTCTATATTTCTGAGATGAGGTATTATGTACATTATTTACATTATACGGACTGTTGTCCTCATCTTTGTCGCCATATTTATCACAACGTTTCGGCCGTTGTACGCTCCGGCCTTCCTCAGGTGATTAGAATTTCGAACCGAAATTTCGCTCACTGAGGTAGACTGTTCTAGTTCCACGTGCCATGTTTCATAGATGTCAGTTATCAGTTATCTCCTGCTAATTTCCTTCTGAAAGTTCTCCACTGTCCCAACCGGGCATTGAACTCACACTCTTTGGGTCCTGTCACTGGATCTAACCATCGCCTTTATCCAATGTGCCATGCGTCCTCAAGGTTGGGCCAGTGGAGAACTTTCAGAGGGAAATTAACAGGAGATAACTAATAACTGACATCCATCAAACATGGCACGTGGAACTAGAACAGTCTACCCCAGTGAGCGAAATAAAGGGTTCGGTTCGAAATTACAACCGGCTGAGGAGGGCCGGAGCGTACAACGGCCGAAACATTGTGATAAATATGGCGACAAAGATAAGAACAATAGTCCGAATAATGTAAATAATAGATATTTTATTGTCGTAGAAATCGCCATTAGCTTATTCAATCATTAAGTGAAGAATTAAGATTCATCAAAAATTTAAAATAGGAAAACCGTAAAATTTTCCCTGATTGGAACTAGTATATATAAACTTGTTATAATTATGGGATTATGATTTCACAGCATGGAGAGAGATAGTAGATATATAGAATATTCCTTCGTGATATCCTCGTTTTAAAAAAATATTAGCAAACAATCGACATCTTCTGTTTTCCTGGATCCTGCTCTTTTATCGTACTTTTGTACGATTAATGTTTTCCTATTCTCTTTCACTCGCAGTAACTGCAAGGCTTCAGTGAAAGGAAAGAAAGAAAGAAAGAAAGAAAGAAAGAAAGAAAGAAAGAAAGAGTGATTAACGTCTGTTTCAGTGAAACGGAAGGAGTGAATTTAAAATCTTTTCATTTTTACCTCTGTACTTCTTAAAATTCATATTTAATTCATATGATTGGTATTGTAATATTTTGTTCAAGTTGTGAATTAGGGGAATTTCTACCGATATTTTATTGTCGGAGAACTCGCCATGAGCTTATTCACTTCAAATACGAAAACTGTGAAACATTTACAGGTTAAAACTAGTATAAAGATATTTTTCAGACCGGTTAGGAACTGAAATAGTCTCTTCTTAGTCCTGATACGTTTTAAATTATCTATCATGGAAGAAAATCGATTTTAATAACAGTAGTTACGTTTTGAGAAAATATACATAAAAAGGTTTGGGAAAACAATATCAATTTTTAAATATCAAGAACAATTTTAGGAAAATCTATGACAATGTTGAAATAGTTTTTTTTTTTTTGCGTGATGCAATGACCATCATTAAAATAAAGAAATTGTGAAAAATCCTGTTATAATTGTGCTTGTCCCCGACTCCGTTAGTTCACGCCACCGTTACGCCCTGCCAATACCTCACAAATTATGTATCATTCCGTTTTGATCGCGTGAAAGGACAAGATATATCAAAGACGCTACTTGGTTTCAATGAAAAAATAAGAAAGAAAGAAAGAAAGAAGTGTTTAACGTCTCCTGTTAATACCACATAAATAATGGACTATTCCGTTTTGATTGCATGAGAAGACAAAATACATTAAAATGGCTGTTGGGTTTCAGTGGGAAAATGAAAGATAAAAGCGAAGATAGAAGTGATTAACGTCTGTTTCAGTGAAACAGAAAAAGTTGTGAATTTTAAATCTTTTCATTTGTACCTCAGTACTTCTTAAAATTCGTATTTAGTTCATATGATTGGTATTGTAATATTTTGTTAAGTTGTATTAGGGGAATTTTTAAGATATTTTATTATCGAAGAACTCACCTTGTTCACCTAGAACTCAATGCTTATTCAATCATTAACTGAAGAATTAAGATTCATCAGAATCTTAAAATAAGAAAACCGTGAAATATTCTTGGATAAAAGTCATTTCGATTGACGGCGAAGTTCAACATAAAAAAACACTGATTTTTTTTTTTTTTTTTTTACAAACCAACAAATTGTTCCATTTACGTTTCATTAAAGATTTCCTCAGCACGATACAAAGCGAAACATTGTTATTGGCTTTCAGATAAATCGATAAAACCAAGACATTTAGTCGGAATGTCTGTATCAGGGTCGGAAAAGGAAAAGACAATGAGAAAAAATTTTAAAAATTTGCATGACTAAACGCTACTTCATTGTTTAATTGAAAATAAATATAAAATATTAAGAAATATTATTGAGAATTTCTCATCGCTACATATTTCCAAAATTGAGTAATAAGAATTTATTTACTGTGAGGCTTACGTGCACACACACACACACACACACACACACACACACACACACACACACACACACACAGAAGCATGTATGCACACAAACGTACACGCAGATACACAGACACAAACGCACCCAACCCAAACATATATTTATCCACCAACAATACAGTGTTTATATATATATATATATATATTGTAACCTAGAAATGAGGAATAACAAAAACGGAGTTTGGAAATGAAATGGTAATCTTTATAACATCAACAAAATACAATACTCGCCAGCGGCGTGAAATAGGTAAACCACTGCAAGTGGTGGACTACATAGACACCATATTAACTCCACTTACAATAGTGTCCAATGTATTTATCAGGATTGGGGTAGGTACGGTATATTACACACACACACACACACAAACACACACACATATATATATATATATATATATATATATATATATATATGCTTTGATAAAGACATTTGCCTTGATAAAGTCCTCAGACCACGAAACGCATCGGCTACGATAAGCTTTCCTTTTGTCTTATATATTTCCTTGTCATATATATATATATATATATATATATATATATATATATATATATATATTTCCTTGTCATATATATATATATATGATAAAATACAATTTTAAGATATGCTATGTTTATGGGTTAAAGTTCTCAATATCAGGGAGAGACATATATGTAAATATAAAAGTGGACATTGAAGTTAACACCCAGAGTCTCTCTTTATGCTAAACTCTTCAGGCCATGTGCGTTGTGTTTCGTCTATTTATATCGACAGACCAGTGATGCATTGTGGGTAGATTATTGTATTGTATTGTGGGTAACGTATTATTGTAGCCTAATGGTTATTTTGGTGGGCGGTAACGGATTATTCTAGGAGCAATTAAGTAGGAATAATTGTGAATCTGAATGCATCACTGACCCTGGATATATAAATCGTCGCAAAAAACAGATTACTTTTAGACTGTCACCTCTGGCTGCTGACTTCAATGTCCACTGATATATATATATATATATATATATATATATATATATATATATAATTATTTATTTAAAAAAAATATGATTTCGACTCGCGACATAAGAGGTCTCATGTTTCAAAACAACAGCCGAAAATTTCAATATAATTATTTGAATTAAATTGAGTTAAAGTAAGTTCTGTTCCATCTTCAAGCGAAATTTTTTGGGGAATAACGTATTTCTGAAATTCATGTGTTTTAATAATTGAAATCAAAATTTCCATGGTAACAGCTAGGGCGAATTGTTTAAATTGGGTAGGCGTGTGTTGGGTGATAATAATAAGTATCAGTATAGAGTTACTTTCATAGATGTCAAGTCAGGGAAAGATATAAAGAAAGAGAGAGAGAGAGAGAGAGAGAGAGTGAGAAAGAATGGGAGGGAAAGAGATAGAGAGAGAGAGATAGAGAGAGAGAGAGAGAGAGAGAGGATTAATAGAAATGTGCAATTTCTCAGTTGATTGATGCAATATTCAGCCCCCAGACCCCAGAATTTCGTAGATGGACCTTTTAGTAATCGGTCTGTCCATTCTTCAGGAGGTATCAACAATTGACTGCTTATCTTCTTAATTTCGTTATTTTTATATTGTTAAAATAGTTTATACACTTTTTATTGGTGTAAAGTTGATTTTTTACATTGTGTGTGTTTGTGTGTATGTGTGTGTATTTTAAACACACACACACACACATATATATATATATATATATATATATATATATATATATATATATATATATATATATATATATATATATTCCTGGTGTAACTGCAAAATCACTTCAATTGTTAGATTAAGCTTTGAAACCTTGTATCTTAGAAATGATTAAAGATATTTTACCGGAATTCTCCGAGGTTTTTATAACATTATTGTTTGAACAATAAGAATGTATAATTACTCTCCAAGCTTAACAGAAGAATCGCGATGAAATCGATCATAAACTAAAATGACTTGTTCATCATTAATTAATCATAGCTAAGTATATATATATATATATATATATATACTATTCCAGGATCATTTTCCAACTTATTCAATATGATCTTCGCCCAATAAGCTTCTAATCTTCTGTCCTAGAATAGCAAGATGCCTCACAGGTTTTCATGCACGATTTCTTCTTTTCAAGTCTTTTACACTGCTTTTTGGACTGTTATAGCTGAACTTCCATGCCAAACGTGTTATGGATTGAGTTGGATCTTTTCTAATTGATCGCTTTAGTTGAAATGATGATTCCTCTTCCTGTTGTGACTGATCCAATTTTCCTTTGCATTATTCCTTCTTTTTTAAACTTATTCACCATTCTCTTGATGGTTCTTGAATGAACTTTGAAAATGGAAGCCAGAGTATGAATGTTGGTACAATTACTGAAGGTCTGGATGATCTTTTTCCTCTCACCATTGCTCATTTAAGAAGACATAGTAGGGCTGACACAAAACGATTTTAACCTGTTCTCTTTCTAGCTGAATAGCTCAAAGGGTTTTTCAGTAATTCTTACGAGAAATGGTGTCAAGATTGTTAAATGTCTTATAGGAAAACCTGTTAAAAAGAAACTAGGTTTAAGTGGCTTTTTAGATATTTAGGGGTGGAAAATTAAGCTGTTACTCGATTTGAACAATTTTGCTGTTACATCCAGTATATGGGATAATATATATATACATTTTACGAAAGAAAAGATCTGTGGCAAATTGGAAACATTCTTGTGGCGGGTTTCATGTAAACAAACGCAGTCCGATGAAGTCATAACGTAGAGAAAGAGACAGACTGAGACAGAGAGAAACAGAGGCAGATAAAGAGAGAGAGAGAGAGAGAGAGACAGAGAGAGAGAGAGACAGAGAGAGAGAGAAATAAACAAAGAGAAAAAGGGAGAGAGAATATATGTAATATATTTATTAAACAACACTCAAATGAATATATTTTGAAACGGATAGTCTGGTTACTTTTAGCGTAGCGGCTGGAGATGAAATTTGAAAATTATGGATTTATCATTCTTGTCATAACTAAATTACTTATATCGAACATACTAGTTCCTCCTTGAGCAGACGCCTCACGTGTCACTTGTCAGATCAAAGTGCTCTGAAAATAATCTATTTACCCACAATTTACAACAAACCTTCAGGAAAAATCTGGTGGAAAAAAATTAAAATTATATATTAATCACTTTACCGGAAACATCTGGCTGTAAGAGAGGCCCTGTATATTAAACATCTCTCTCCCACTATCAACCTCACCTTATTTAACAGTGGGAATGGCGTGTTGAATATAGAAAAAAACTCACTTCAATTCCAGCCTCGCATTACACGCGAAAGCTTGGAATAAATGCTTCTGCTAATATTCAAAAGAACACAAAATAAAATAAATCTTAAAATGTCAAAACATGAAGAGAAATTAGGCAAACTTAATGTAAGTGTAACCGTTATGATTATGACCGTTTTATATTAATTAACAGTTGTGTTTATGATGGTTTGTAAACAAGCGTTCTCAATGTAAAGGGGACAACCAGATTTGACAGTAAATTGCAAAATACTGTTTAATGTTAGTCAAATGCATTTTAAAATATTGCTCCCATGTACGTAATAAATTTTGTTCAGTTTTGGTTGGTTGCTTTTGATATAGATGGACTCGAGAATTTGAAGTTTTTGTTTATTATTTTCATGATGTAGTGTAATGGTGTTGTCAACAAGAATTTTCCTGTATCTACAGCTGATGTGCTTACGGCCATCACTGAAACAGTCTACCGAGCTCTTCAAAATAACGGGGAAGCCCGTGCCGTGGCCCTAGACATCTCCAAAGCATTTGATAGGGTTTGGCATGCCGGCCTTCTTAGCAAACTCCCGGGTTATGACATTACGGGTCGATTGTATAACCTAATACAATCATTCCTGTCAAACAGTGAATTGAAGGTCGTTCTCAACGGTTTCTCCTCCAGTTCCTATCCCACGAACGCAGGTGTTCCTCAAGGCTCCATCCTAGGCCCCACTCTATTCCTTATCTACATAAATGACCTTCCTGACGCCATAACTTCCCAAGTTGGCATCTACGCGGATGACACCACAATTTATTCCTGCCTCAAAAACAAATCTAGTGTCACTGACAAAACTAACCTGGCCGTGCGTCTCGAAAAGGGGCTCCAATCGATTGTGAACTGGGGCATGAATTGCCTGGTCAACTTCAACGCTTCTAAGACAAAACTACTCTGTATTAATCACCACAGAGAGCCTTCCCTTCCCTCCATTAGAATGTCTGACGCTCAACTTCTCGAGAGCAACTCTCTGCGGCTTCTCGGTCTCACGTTGACTGCTGACCTGAGATGGAATAAATACATCGAGTCAATTGCTTCGACCACCGCAAGGAAAGTTGGCTCCCTGTGCCGCGCCGGGAAATTTTTCTTCCCGGAATCGATCCTCCAGATCTACAAATCAAGAATTCGCCCTTGCATGGGATATTGCTACCATATATGGTCTGGTGCCCCTTCTGTTTGCCTCGGGGTTCTTGATAGGCTCCAGAGGCGGATATGCAATGTAGTTCGCCCTGGCATCTGGCATCTCGTCTACAGTCACTTTCTCACAGACGCGCCGTTTCTGTATCCCCTTGCGTCCTAGTGGCTTCCCGCCTTGCTTGGGGTGAAATGCTTAAAAAAAAATTGTGAAGATGGAAAGGAATGTGCCTATAGATGTTGCGCGATAGAGCGGAAAACTTGACAATGTTGTTGTCGTCAATCTAACATAAGTACTTGGGTTAACAAAAAATACGGCGCCTTAACATCATTTTAACATCAAGGAGACAATTAGAGAACTAGAAAGGATTATTATAAAAATAGACATAATATGTCTATATTATTTAATGGAATACATATGCATTCCCCTCCAAAATTATTGGAACGGCAAGGCAAATTTCTCTGTTTTTGTTTTTTTACTGATGAATGTTTAGCATAAAAAATGAATATGAAACAACAGTTTAGAATTTAAGTTATTTCCTGGTATTTACATTTAGATGCGTTAAACAGCTTAGGATATACTACCATTTGTATCAGATTACCTCATGTTAGATGAACAAAAGTAAAGGAACAGATAGCCTTATAGAAAATAACATTTAATATTTGGTTGCATAACACTTGCTTGCAATAAATGCATCAAGCCTACAACCCATTGACATCATCAAACTGTTGCATTCTTCATTTGAGATGCTTTTCTAGACTTTTAATGCAGCTTCTTTCAGTTCTTGTTTGTTTCGGGGGAGGGGATTTCTTCTCCAAGTCTCCTCTTCACGAGATGAACTATATGCTCCATTTGGTTACAGGTCCGGTGATTGACATGTTCAATCTAAAACTGTTCACCTTTTTACCCTGACGGAGTCCTTTGTTGTGCTGTCAGTGTGTTTTGAGCCATTGATTTACTGCATCATAACTCAGAAGGAAAATCCTCGAGAGTGCCGCCATTGAATATTATCCAAATATTAGTCTACGTCCAGGTTTTTTGTCCCAATATCACCATTCCTAACAGAATTACTTCCCTCCCAAGCCAACGTACACAACTGTATCAAGAAATCAAAAGAAAATGGCAGAATCCGTCAGCTCAACAATAAAAAGAATATTTCTACAGGTATATACACGTATATATATATATATATATATATATATATATATATATATATATATATATATATATATATATATAGCGTCCAAAACTAAGGGACAAAATTTTAAAACCTAATATTTGTTAGAAGTAACAACTGTGAACTGGTAGTCGTTATCATCCATAATAACATACTAAAATTTGAATCATTTGCAAAGGATAGAAAAAGATAGAAAAAGAATTATAACAATTATTTATTTATTTTCAAAATAGGATCGTCCAAAAGTAAGGGACAAAATTGAGAAAAACAATGTAAACAGTATGCTATATTCAAATTTTTTGATTTCCTCTAAAGAATAAGTCTTACTTAGTCATTTGTAAATGTTGCATCAACCGGCACCATGGCGAAACGCCAAAAACTTGATTACTCTGTGAGACAAGCTATTGTGAAGCTACACAAGGAAAAGCACACCATTAGAGAGATTTCAGAGAAAGTGAAACGTTCCAAGAGTGTTGTAGGCAGGGTTGTTAATTCCTACAATGATACTGGCAAAATAGTTAGTACTTTTAAAACCGGCAGACCCCGCAAAACTTCGCCAAGAGAAGATCGAATAATGCAGCGTATGTCATTAAAGGACCGTTTTAAGTCTTGCACAGAAATTAAAAGGGTTATGAATAGTACCTCATGTGTTAATGTGTCAAGACAGACTGTTTGTAGACGACTGCAAGAAATAGGGCTGTTTAATCGAACCCCAGGGAAGAAACCACTTGTTAGTTCGAAGAATAAGAAGAAGAGATTAGAGCTTGCAAACAGGTATGTAATTTGGACATATGAAAATTGGGCAAAAGTATTTTTCACTGATGAAAGCAAGTTTAATTTATTTGGAAATGATGGAAAAAAACAATGTAAAGGAACGTATTGGTGAAAGATTAAGTGCAAAGTGTACTAAGAAAACTGTCAAGTTTGGGGGCGGAAGCGTCATGGTATTTGGAATGTTTTCTAGCCAAGGTACAACGCCTCTTGTCCGGTTACACCTTGTGTAAACGCGCAGATCTATAAAAACATTGTTCAAGATCAAGTTGTGCCAATCATATAGAATTCAGGTTTTGATAGGGCTACCTTTATGCAAGATAATGCCCCATGTCACAAGGCAAAGGTGGTAATGAGTTACCTTAGCGAGCAAGATTTGGAAATTATGGATTGGCCACCGCAAAGTCCTGACTTAAATCCAATAGAAAATCTTTGGAAGACCTTAGGAGTGAAAGTTATGGAAAGAAATCCCACTAACACAGAGGATTTGTGGGTTAGCTTCAAGAAGAATGGTCTAAAATTAGTATCGAGGATTGTCAAGAACTGATTCGTTCTTGTAGTCGAAGATGTGCAGCTGTCATTGAGAGCAAGGGCTCATTTACTAAATATTGATTGTACATGTATTTTTATTGTTTTTTTGCCATTTACATTGTTTTTCTCAATTTTGTCCCTTACTTTTGGACGTTCCAAATTTGAAAATAAATAAATAATTGTTATAATTCTTTTTCTATCCTTTGCAAATGATTCAAATTTTAGTATGTTATTATGGATGATAACGACTACCAGTTGTCAAAATTTCAGCTTTTCACAGTTGTTATTTCTAACAAATATTAGGTTTTAAAATTTTGTCCCTTAGTTTTGGATGCTACTGTATATATATAAATTCATGAATCATTCATACAAAAAACAAATATAGAGGTTAATGATTTAAATGGCGAGAATACATCTTCGCAAACAATATAAATAAGATACATCAACCCCAAACCTGTATATAAATGATATGATCCCCGTTTATAAATTCCAGTTGCATAAGATCTTTTTAATTTTTACAAGCTTTCGTCTGTTCCTACAGACATCATCAGATATGGAAATAGATTTTGTTTTTGTTTTTACTTCTCAGTAATAAGAGGACAACGAAAATAGAGATGCAATCCGAAAAAAATGCTATGAGAAATGTGTTATTGTTTTGGAACGTGCGGTCGCAACGCTGAGTTTGAATTTAAATTTTAAGGTTGTGCGTTTTTGTACAAATATAGCAATAAGAGATAGGGATTTGTCTATATATAGATATATCATCTTGATTTGTGCTTAGTGGATATTCTATGATATTTTCTAAGTTTCATTTACTTTTCCTTTAACCAATCTCTAGAAACACACACGTATACATAACCGCACACACACACGCAGGCAGACACACGCGCGCGCACACACACAAATTGCAGCCCAATTACAGGATTCAATTTTCCTCTCATTTACATACGCACAAAATCAAGAATAAATAATTTTCATCAATCCAGCGTATTGCACCCTTGTCTGGCTAATCTTTGGATTATAGAATCGATAGCTGAATTTATGAAGAAGTAATTAGGTTCCGTCAGAATTTTTGGTGAATTTTTGAGACAGAAAATCTTGTGTTGCCAAGAACGGAATTTCATAAAATCTACATCAGTATCCACAAGGTTCAATTTCCCTCTCCAGCAGCAGCAGGAATAATTCTGAAAAAAATCGATCATGAAGAGAATATTTTGGAAATCCGACCATCAGCAGAAGCAATCGAATCGATAGCGTGCTCTTCAATATCTGCTTCTACCCATAAAATCCATCACAAAAAAATTAAAAGTGAAAAAATAAGCTATAATGTAAAAAGCTACGAATGGCTTAGTAAAAAAAAAAAACTGATTTAAAGTTTTCGTCTTATTTATATAAAATAGCATTATGAAAAATTAAGTACTTTACCAGAAAAGATATAAAACAACTGGAAATGAAATTTATTGAAATATTACGATGTTCGGAAAGTAATTACGTGTTTTATTAAAAAGGATATAAAAACAAATATTCAAATATATTTTAGTAAAAATGTAATTACAATTATTGATACATAATAAATCAAATGAATGTATTTTGACGACAACATTATCAAAACGTCTTACTCTCCATTAGTTGGATACAAGTTCTATTACACAACATATAAAAGACATTGCTGTTCTCCTTCACAATCCAGGAAAATTCTTGTTGACAATACAACACCACGAAAATAATAAAGAAAAAATTCAAATTCTCGAAGCTCTCTATATAGAATGTAACCAACCAATACTGAACAAAATTTATTACAAATATAGTAGCAATATTTTATAATGCATTTGACCAACATTTAACGCCATGTTGGATATTTACCATCTCTGTTTAGCTCCCTTACATTGTAGATGCTTGTTTAAAAAAACGTAGCTAAAATGAATAATCTACTATCTATATTTCTCATGTTGTCCGTCTGTGTGTCTGTCGTGGGCGTTGTTACCTCGCCCAGGCCGCATTTCTCACCCGATTTCTATGCGGTTTTCACCACAAGTTTGAAAATGGCTGCCTTAAGGACATGGCGCAGCCCGATTTTTCAGTTCGGACTCAGGTTCTGAAAAAATCGATAATCGAAAAAATCTGCTTACAGAAGGAATTATTGCATTTCAACCAAATTTGACACCCTCTTAGAGTCTAACTTTAGAAGTGTTTTCCAGAAGTTTCATGACAGCGCGGAAAATCGATAAAACCCAAAAGCCGATACGCCCAGATTGCACCCGAACCGCATGTCGGTTTTTAGCGAAAACCGATCGGATTTATGAAGAGGCCATTGGGAGTCACCATGTGAAGTTTCAACTCTGAGCGACCCCCAAACAGAGTGCAAATGGACAATCGGTCAACCCTTAAAAATGTTTTTCCGGTTGGGTATTTCCTAAATGCAGATTAATTTAAGGTCACGCTATGCGCGGGAAGAAACAGGTTAGTGCGTGCAGTGCTGTATGAGTCGTACGATTTTTGAATCAAGCACGGGCAACGCCGGGCCATGCTTCTAGTAAATCATAAAAGTATAACATTATTATCAAATATACGATAATATTTTTTATTTATTGTTGTTGTTAAAAAAGATTTGAAAGATAAATAATAGTGAAAGAAATTAATTATTTGTGATCTGTCTCTTTCGAATGTTAAGACTAAGTGTTATTTTTATTTCCATTTTTTTAAAAACTTTGCGCTGATCACATCTTCCGTCCATGGTATCCTCGACATTCTTGTGTTGAACCGATGTTTTTGTTGCTTTAAGTCTCTTCTTCATCTCTGATTAGATTCTCCAGCATTCACAACCATGTAGGAGAACAGCGGTATATTTCCCTTTGATTATAAAGAAATTTTCATGTTTTTTCATACTTTTCTTAGCATTTGAAAGACATCTTTAGCTATCTCACTTTCCTCAAACCCTTACGAATATACAGGAATTATTTTAAATATTTCTTCATTAAATTTTTAAAGTCGTCTTTCTTCATTAAGTACCCTAGAAATTTTCGAGTTTAAGTATATTCAATAATTAAATTTTCTAAGTCATTTTTCCTCATTAAGTACCCTAGAAGTTTTTGATTTTAAGTATATTCAATAATTAAATTTTTTAAGTCGTCTTTCTTCATTAAGTACCCTAGAAAATTTTGATTTTAAGGATATTCAATAATTAACTTTTTAAGTCCCCTTTCCTCATTAAGTACCCTAGAAATTTTTGATTTTAAGTATATTCAATAATTAAAAAAATCCAGACATTCAAGCAGGATATGCAACTATGATTCTAAATGCGTTCCACTGCGGAGAACGAACCTTCGTCCAACACGACAAAAATGAAACAGGAGTCTAAACACCACCAAAGGAGGTAATATATATATATATATATATATATATATATATATATATATATATATAAAAATTATTTGCAAAACCAATTTGAAGACGAATTAGGAAAAAGAAAAAAAAAACTTTCATGGCCGATGCTCTTTGCAAACACAAGGAACTAATATCGTCAAAAAATCTGGCCGATCAGTAGTTGCGGAACCCTGGCTTGAAACCAGAAACAGATGGGCTTATCTTAGCGACTCAAGATCAAAGCTAGCCAAGATTTTACCAAGCACTTATTTTAAGGATCGGTATAGATCGAAAGTGTCGTTTCTGTAAACACGCCGAGAAGACGCTTGATCTTATCATCGTTTCTCTATCCTAGGATCAAATGAATTTAAAAATAGAAATGATAGGGTAGGGTGTTACTTTTACTAGAAGATGTGCCTACACTATAAACCACACCAGACATAAATGCTATGAACAAAGACCATCATTTGTTCTCAAAGGTAACAGGGACTTCATCATATACTCTTGCAACCTAGAAAAGGTTACTGAATGAGGAATAACCAAAACGGAGTTTGGAAATGAAATGGTAATCTTTATAACATCAACAAAATACAATACTCGCCAGCGGCGTAAAGTAGGTAAACCACTGCTTGTGGTGGACTACTTAGACAGCATGTTACCCCCACTTACAATAATGTCCAGTGTATTTATGAGGATTGGGACATGTATATTAGTGTTCATAGGTACGGTATATAATATACACCCACCGCATTAAACCAGCTAAGGCAGTCAGATATTGCCATAAAATTCTGTAATCTGCTTGAATTCTATCCTATGTCATCTTATATAAAAAAAATCATTGTAAAAACTCACCAAATGTAAGGGCCGGGATATACAAATGAGAAAAATTTGATATTTCAAGATAACAATTGTCTGCAATCGTCATAGCGCTTGGAATGTTCAAGAAGACTGACGCACTTTAAGAAAATTCCGAAGAAATTATAGCTTCATTTAACTTCTGTTCCAGATTTGGTTTGTTTTATAGCATATCAACCTCAATGGATTATTTAATGCCGAGAAGATTTTTCTTGGGGGTAATTGTTTCAAAATATATTACTGGTAATATTTTTTTTTTAAAAATGTATTGCTGGTAATAATATATTTTTCAAAAATGTTTTTTTTTTTAAATGTTTTTTTTTTCAGTAATTTATTGCTGGTAATAACTTTTTCCTTCAAAAATATACTGCTGGTATTTTTTTCCAAAATGTATCGTTATTAAAACCTATTTTTACTTTTCCATAGTGTTTTGAACCTAGTTTGAGAGTTAACTATTTGCACTTAGCTAGGATCCCAACAGGTAATACCACGCCAGGTCAGGGTGGACCTGGGAACACAAGAAATTAAAGGGTGGTTCCACGCTGCTCAAAACCTTCTGATCAGAGTCCTTGCTGTCGGGTGTACTTTATCGTCTTATCCAGGACGTGGATGTAGTTTATCGTCATACCCAGGACAACTCAGTTTCAGGGAAACACTTGGTCAAAACAAACAGTAAGTAAATAATAATAATAATAATAATAATAATAATAATAATAATAATAATAATCCAAAGAACATCTGAAGAAGCTGGAAATCCCACAATATTCTGGGACTATGATTTTCAGACATTCAGATTGGTACACCATCGCCTTTCGAATATCATTGTGCTAGATAAAAGCACCAAGAACTGTCATATTATTCATGTTGTCAAAGCAAATGTCAGAAATATAGCAAACAAGATGACTGAGAAAATCACAGACTACTCTGGTTTGAAAGCTGAGATAACAAGATTGTTTAGAATACGAGAAGCGAATGTCAAGGTGATTCCAGTGGCGATTAACGTATTTGGGGTTAAATTCCATTAAAACTATGTGGCTTCCGTGACCAGTTGGGGGGGGGTATACCATACCAACTTGTAATCATCCAAAAATCGTCTCTTGAGCATTGCTCTCTGTTTGAGGTCTTTCTTGTGACTTGACAGATAACGAAATGTATCCAGTGTTTTCAAAAAAAAAAAAAAAAATACTGCCCACACCTTACGGCACAGTGACAGTGACAAATGTCATGATGCTATTTCTGACCTGAGGTCTTTGGTTGGGACCCGGAAAGAAAGGAATATACACCAGAAACCAGAGGAAATAATAATAATAATAATAATATTAATCCAAAAATTGATACAAGCATGAGCTTTGCAGAACAATTGAAGAAGCTGGAATGCGCACAATATTCTGGGACTATGATTTTCAGACATTCAGATTGATACACCATCGCCTTTCGAATATCATTGTGCTAGATAAAAGCACCAAGAACTGTCATATTATTCCTGTTGCCATGGCAAACAAGATGACTGAGAAAATTACAGACAACTCTGGTTTAAAAGCTGGGATGACAAGATTGTTTGGATTCTCAAAAAATGTGGCACAAAAGAACAACAATAATTCCAGTTGTACTTGGAGCACTCGGATTGATTGGAAAAGATTCCAATAGACTCATTGAGGGGATACCTGATAGTCCACGTCTTAAAGAAATAAAAAAAATTGCTCTCACGAGTACAGCCCACACCTTACGAAGAGCTTTATCTATGTAAAATATGCGTGATCTCAGGGGTTTTGTCAAAACTGCTCAGTGAAAAATGTTATGATGCCATTTTTGACCTTAGGTCTCTGTAAAAATCTATCCTCCTATATAACTGTAAATATCTATGATCCCGGCAACGAGTGCTAGACAAGATCCTCGCAGAAAAAGA